TGGGTGGCGATACTCGGCTGTGCACAGTTGTGTGTGGCTGTACACGGTGGTGGTGTGTGGTTGTGCCCGGTTGTGTGTGGCTGTACGTGGCTGTGCACGGTTGTGTTGTGGCTGTGCACAGTGGTGTGCAGTTGTGTGTGGCTGTATGTGGCTGTACATTGCTGTACATGGTCGTGTGCAGTTGTGCAGGGCTGTGTACGGTTGTACACGGCTGTGCAGGGGGGTGCGGGGTTGTGTGTGGCTGCACACGTCTGTTCACGGTCGTGAGTGGCTGTGCATGGTGGTGGCATGTGGTTGTGTGTGGCTGTACGTGGCTGTGCATGGTTGTGTATGGCTGTGCACAGGGGTGTGCAGTTGTGCACAGTTGTGTGTGGCTGTACATGGCTGTAGATGGTCATGTGCCGTTGTGCAGGGCTGTGTACAGTGGTGGTGTGTGGTTGTGTGTGGCTGTACATGGCTGTGCACAGTCGTGTGTGGCTGTACATGGTGGTGGTGTGTGGTTGTGCCCGGTTGTGTGTGGCTGTACACGGCTGTGCGTGGTTGTGTGTGACTGGGCACAGTTGTGTGTGGCTGTACATGGTTGTGGGCGGTTGTGCAGGGCTGTGTACGGTTGTGCATGGCCACGCAGGGGTGTGCACAGTTGTGTGTGGCTGTACACGGTGGTGTGCGGTTGTCCAGCGCTGTGTGTGGCTGTACACGGTTGTGTGTGGCTGTGCACAGTCATGTGCAGCTATGTAGGGCCGTGTGTGGCTGTGCACGATCACGTGTGGCTGTGCACGGCGGTGTGCAGTTGTACACAGTTGTGTGTGGCTGTACACAGCTGTGCATGGTCCTGTGTGGTTGTGCAGCGCTGTGTATGTCTGCATGGTTGTGCCTTGGTCCTGTGTGGTTGTACAGGGCTGTGTGTGCTTGTGCACAGCCATGCACTGGTGGCCACGGCTGTGTGTGGTTGTGCAGCGCTGTGTGCGGTTGTCCAGGGCTGTATTTGGCTGTGCACGGCTTTGTGCGGCTGTGCACGGTTGTGTACAGCTGTGCGCAGCTGAGCATTGTTGTTTGAAGCTGTGTATGGTTGTGTGTAGTTGTGCAGGACTGTGTGTGGCCGTGCACGGTTGTGCATGGTTGTGTGCAGTCGTGCAGGGCTGTGCGTGGTTGTGCAGGGCTGTGTGCGGCTGTGCTCGGCTTTGTGCAGCTGCGCACAGTTGTGGACAGCTGTGTACAGTTGTGCACGAATGAATGTGGTTGAAATTGTGCATGGTTGTGTGCAGTTGTGCACGGTTGTGTGTGTGGTTGTGCATGGCTGTATGTAGCTGTGCTGGGCTTTGTGCAGCTGTGCACGGTTGTGCAGCGCTGTGTACGGCTGCACATGAATGAGCGCGGTTGACATTGTGCATGGTTGTGTGCGGTTGTGCGCAGTTGTGTGCGTGGCTGTGCGAGGTTGCGCACGGTTGTCTGCAACTGTGTACGGTTGTGCGTGCCTGTGCGTGGCTTTGCGCGGTTGTGCGTGGTTGTGTGCCATTGTGAACAGCCGTGCACGCTTGTGCGTGGCTGTGTGTGGTTGTGTGTGGCTGGGCCCGCCTGTGTGTGGGTTTGCACTGCCGTTCCCAGCTGTGCGCGGTTGTGCAGGGTTGTGCGCGGTTGTTGGCGGCTGTGGGTTTCCTGCTGCGATGGAGCGCTGACTGTGGGAAAATTCCAGCCTGTGGGAAAGG